TTAATTCTACATGATCTAATCTCACACTTGTTCATCCTTTTTTTATATCAGCTTGGATTGATATAAATTAACGGCCGTATAGCTGGCAATATATTAATCAATCTCCTTGCAATATCAATCTTTTTTTTCTCTTAAAAATCAATCAATTAAAATATTGATGGAATCTTATTTGTAAATTTTATTTTGTCTATATATTAGGGATGTGCTTTCTTATTATAATTACATAAAATATTGAATGTTATCAACATAGGATTGAGAAGATCGATTTCATGGAAGTGTGAAAATATTAATTACTTTCATCGTATGATTGCAATCGAAGTATGCGCATATAAACCATAATTGTATTACCTAACACAGAGAAGAACATGTGAAATATTTATTTTCTTAAAATAATAATATTGAAGATAGATTACAGCCGGGTATTACATAACTGATTAATTATGCAGTATAATTAATCATACATCGTTATATCACGGAAGATGTCAGAAAGTTGGACACTTATCATATCAATCGCTACCTATCTCGCAATGTGTCTCGAATAGCGAAGTATCGACGAGTTCTCCGACGATGAATTTTGCAATCGAACGATGAGTTGTCAAATATATTTATAATTTCGAAGTAATTTTCTTTGTTACGTTATAAAAAATTGGCATGTTCCGTGACGTCCATTCACGTCAATTTCGCGCAATCTAATCCGAGTCTCTCTGATCGACGGGTATGTCGGCTGACCGACCCTGATCGAGCTGCGTCGAGAACCACATTCTGACTCGTATGCAAGGATCGACTTTCGCTCCGTCCGTCGTCGTATGCGCTCTGCGCAATCTTGGATCTTGATGTTACTTACGTGCGATCCCGCTATGAGGGAATCGTGTTTTTCCTAAGATTCAGGTGAATAGAATTGCTGCGGAGATCGTAGATACGCGAATTAATCTAGTTCAGACCGGAAAGAGAAGAGATAAATAGATAAATAGATAGAGAAGAGAAAAAAGAAGACAGAAAAAAAAGAGAAGTAAGCCGATTATTTTTCCCTCTGTTTTCTCTCGATCTTGCATTTGTCTCGTATGTGTCTTGTCTACGTTACGAACAGCAAATATTTTCAAATTAATAATAATATAAATTTTTAGATAGCATACTATTCATAGATTTAATCTGCTTTGATTATCACAATATTTCAGTTATAAAATGTATATAATTTTTTTATATATTTCAAAATATTGAAAATAATTTTTAAGAACAATATTTAATATAAAAATTTTATAATTATATTAATTTTATATT